TCTCCATTTGGATAGTGACATTTTGGCTGAGGGTGTATGGGAGGGGTAGTGACTAGCGTAGAAACAACATCCAAACAAGCAATAGGTGGCGCATTGATCCTTCTGCTGTATTAGGTCTGTCTCACTGACAGACTGAGACTGCTGTTGTCTTCGACTCTGATCAAAACAGTGTGCCCCCCTAGCAGATAATTAATGAATTACATCATATTAAAAATACTCATCCCGTGTCTTTTATACATTTTTTCACTTCAAAATTATCCTGCGGGCCAGATCGAAACTCCTGGCGGACCGGTTCCGGCCCACGGGCTGTATGTTTGATACCCCCGGTATAGAATGACATCGTCACTCACTGTACACAGAGTTTTACCAAGGACATTGAGCTTTTTCACGAAATCTGACACAAGCACAGACAATGGTTTCTCTTTACTGGTTTCTACTGGGGACACTGTCAGCTTTCTATCCAACCAGTCCCATCGAAACTTGCTTTTCAGATCCGCATCTATCTGATGCACGTTAGCTTCGTCACGAGTCTCGATAATATTTGGCATTTTGTTTAATACAGACTACATACACGAGTAATTTCAAAACACTACATCCCTCGTGCAAAACCATTCAGAATTCGCGGAAAAGGGGTTTAGGAAGGCAAACAAGGATTGGTTGTGATTCTGCATTTGCCGATATAGCAACCAATCACAACAAGACATTGGTTTTAGCCCATATAGGAAGTAATGACAAACTAACGCTTCGTGAGAAAAAAACAGTATTCAAAAAGGATGCTTGCAAACTTTATTTGTAAACATTACGAATCCCGAGTCTGCTGAAGACAAGTAAGTCCGGCAGCCCAGAAAGAACACCAGACCCTACCCCCGCCCCCCCTAAAATTTTCTCAACGGACTTGGAACAATATAAAAAAGGTCCATTTTGACTGGAAAAAAGTGGAAAAATCTAATCCCTGAAATATGCGCTACATCGCGCTCATTTTTTCTTCCAAATCAACTTCTTATTACTGGTGCGACTCTCTTCTCATTCATTCCCGCAGCTTCACTGTGCTTTAAACTGTGTGGACACTGAGCATCGACCGCGCGGACGCTAGGCGTCGAAAGAGTTCAGTGTTGGTTGTCCCAATGCATTGAAACGAGACGAGTAATTGGATAAATGCTGGTTTTGTCCCGCCCATCGGACGCTCAGCGTCTCTGGGAGTCTATGGACAGTGGGCGGTTATGGGCTGACCCGGACGCTGAGCTATTCTGCATGATGATTGGATGATCTGTCTGAGGCTGAATCTCTTTTTGATTGACAGTGAAATGAGCCAGTCACCGATCTTTTGGTGTTGGCATCCATGGAAGCATTTTTCAATTCTCATTTTGTTCTGAATTGAACTACAGACTTCTTCTAAACATCTTAGCGACACTCTCTTTGTTGAAAATGACCAGCGACAAATTAATCTTTTATTTCTGGTGGGTTTTATTGTTGTCACATTGCAAGGTGGTGGTGGACCCCAAAAAGCAGGCAGGAGGGAGGAGCAGGGTGTACTTGAAGTGTATTGATAAAACACAGAAAACTAAATCCGCAACAAAGTCCAAAAAACAGAAAGAATCCAAATTATCAAACAAAACCCAGGCTGTAGCTAAAAATAACAATCAACAAAACATGATTGAGAACATGACAGCAACAAAGAAAAAGCAACAATGACTCGAGAATGAGTGGTCGGGCGGGAGTCCTTTTATGCCACTAATTACCTAACGACCAACAGGTGTGCAGCTGCAGGGAAATGCCCCACAGTGCCACCTGTTGGTCACAAACCAAAACATGACAATTGCCATTGCTTGTGTTCGCAGACTGACTTATATCACCACAGTTTCCGAGAGTATAATTCACGTAGAGACATTTTATGATGTAGGCCGAAATTGAGCTTCCCCTCCTTGACAGACCAGCATCCGCCACTGACGGACGGACGGACGGACGGACGGATG